GCGTCTTCGCGCCGCCGCCTCCCCGCCGCTGCGCAGCGATCCCACGTAATTGGAACTTGTATTTGAGTTTGCCGTCTCGCCGTGCTCCTGCTTGTGCTGTGTCCTTTCAAGATTTTATTTCCATTTTTGTTTCGCGTTGTTTTTTTGTTGTTGTTTTTTGTCGCCCCCTCTGGCTTGGCCCTGCGTGTGCCCAGCGCGCCGTGAACGACGTCGCCTGTATTGTTCTGCTCATCTCTGCGTGATCAGAGAAGTCAAGCAACAAGGCTGTGATGCAAGCGGCCGGATGGTCGGATGGCGACACAGGGAGGCCCTTTGCGACTGTAATTGAACGAACCCGGTGACCGTGTGCACCATTCCGAGTGTCTGAGTCCGCAAGTCGAAAGAGGAGGTTCGGGAAGGGGAAACTTTGTTTCGGTCAATTAAAACCCTGAGTGATGTTAAGCAAGTCTCGTGAATTACCGAATAAAATTGAGGTTTTCACACATAAGTCTAGCATTGCCCAGGTCACCCACTACGGCAAGGTGACCTGAGTTACTCCAGATGGTGGTGGTGGGCGACGTGGGGTGCTCTTTTACTCCTACTTGGAAGTGGGGAGGGGATACAGGTTCGTCCGGGACATCACAGGACAGGCACAGGTCGGGATCGACCGTGAGTGCACTTACCCAAACGCGGGCCCCGCGCGAGGTGTGTTTACTGTACCCCAGGCGCGCTTTCGGAAGAGTTACCGTAAAGTTGTAAAAAAAAGAGGTGACAGCCGCCGGTGGCGTGTAAACCGAACCTAGTATGCGTGGAACTTTTTTCCGTGCTACTGCAATGCGGAAAAAAAGCTCGACGTGGATGCGCGCACTGCTCTGCTCGAGGACTTGGCGAACTCCGTCATCGAGTGTCATGACGAAACTAACTTGCACCTGCAGGTCCTTGTGTACCTTCCGCAGCGTCAATCTTGCAGGGGCCGCGGTACGAGCTAACGAAGTCGCCGTGAGAGATAACTTTCCAGCGGAGCCAGGCGCAAAATGTTAAAGTCCTTCCAGCGGAAGAGCTTGGCGTTGCCGGCTTCGTGAGAGAGCCCAAGTGTGTTTAGGCGACCCGCGAATCGTGTGCATCCCACCGGATTTGCGCCGCCTACTGGTTTATTTTTCTGTCGTAAAGCCGCTCAAAAATATAACTCCTTTAAAAAGGGAATAAAATGTTGATTTTTCCCCCACGGCCCGCAAGTTGTTGCTGATTTACTCCGTTTTCAAATAACTAGTAGGTTGCCCGTCAAACACCATAGATGTGCCCTTGTAATACGTCATTGAAAAACTTCCCCAACAGTTTTTTTCCCGTAGAGTTCCGCACCAGTTAAGGGCTGTGTCAGCACCATCCATCGTGAGTCTCTTCTTTCGTGTGGAGCGCTTTCCCGGCACTGGCCGCGGTTAGTCGCAGACAATTATTCGAGATCATAACCATCTCGTCGCACAGCGGGGCCGCGGGGCCGCGGGGCCCCAGGCGGAGGTGTTAGCAGGGGAGTGAGAGAGGCGGCGAGAGGAAGAGCGACGAGGAGAGGCGAGAATGAAGAAGGTGAGCGGAGCGGCGACCCGGCAGTTGTGTATAATTAAATACATTTAATTAATCAAGCAATATAATCCAGTTAAGTGTGAACTTTGCGTGCCGCCACTCGGCGGGCCGTGCCTCGCCATGCCTCGCCGTGCCTCGCCTTGCCTTCTCGGAGGCCCCACCCAATTAGGTGCATCAACTCATCCTGTTAAAGTTGTCGGCACAGATTCGACTCGCTCTGCCACTTTGCGCTATCTTTTTGGCACGCGGCCCCGGCCATGGCCACGCCACAGTGGGCCAGCGCGGCTACCGTCCTCTGACCAGCGTGTCCACTAGAACGGGACAAAAACAATGGCAGTGCGCGGATATATCCCGACTCGCGTCTGGCTTGATGAGGCCCGTAAGGACTGAGTCAACTTCAATCCAGATTCAAACAGGCGTGTCAAAATAATGACCTCCGCGTAGTGCTCCGCGAAGAAACGGAAAAGAGAGACAACGGACGAAAGGAGAGAGACATCATGCCAAACCGTGCCACAAAGACTTGATAGCCACTTTCAGTTTCCTCGCTGATTTTTCCCCCTGCTCTCTTTTTCTCTTTTTATTTCGAGGAAAGGACAACCGACAGTGGGGCAATTTCTGTATTTTTCGAAGAACAACCCGTCCCGGGAAAGTGAAACAGAGTGGTCTCAGTGAGCGGGAGTGTGGTTTTCCCTTTTTTCGAATCCTGCTTGCAGATTCGTTGTATTCGGGATGTCTGCCGCCCGCCGCCCACATCGCATACATCATCGGAATGTGTCGACTACCTGCCGGTAATGCAAGGTGCTCCCAGTCTGACCAACATCCCAATGATCAACTTTGGCCAATAAAACAGGCGTGCGGCCATACCGCGTGCGAGTATATCACTCGGGCCGACGCGGGCCGCAATGGCGATGCCGGGACGAGGAACGCCAATGGCAGAAATGACTTGGTTCTGAATACCGCAGGCGACTTTGATAAATCTTTGGGGCCAGTTGTGCGTCCGTGCGGTCTGCTCGCCACGGTGGCTGGGTGCGGACTGCCTCTCCGGGAGCAGCTTGGCGGCGCTAGCCCGCAAACACTTGGCTCCGTGCTTTAGAAATTCATCGCGTGGCGGTGTGGCAGCGCGGCGTGGCAGCGCGGCGTCGGCAAGGGCCCGCCCGGGCAGCAAGCTGGGGTCTCAATGACAGCCTCTTAGTCGAAGTAGGCCACGGCGCCACCGCCCTAAAAGGTGTGACCAGGACGCCACCTGTAGAACACACACCGGTGGCAGGTGGCGTAATTGTTTTCTCTTTTTTTCCCTCTCTATTTTCCCCGGCAGCCTTCCGACGCGCCGAAGGAAGATTCATAGCGCGCCGATCGGGCGGCCATCGCGCGGAAAGCCGCGGAAAGCTTAAAACTCGCCGCGCTTTCTCTTTTTGCGGTTGAACGCGCCTCGCGCGCGTCCCCTCCAGGAATGGAAGAAGACAGATAACAAAGACCAGCGGGAAGGACCTTCTCCCCGCGCGGCCGGGGCCGCCAGGGCTGCCGCAGGGAAGGAAAGACTTAGACCCGCACGTGTCATGTGTGCGTGCGTGCATGTGACTGTGTGTGTGTGTGTGTGTGATTCCCCACCCCCAGCAGCCCACCGCCACATTGCCATTCGCGCACCATTATTTCGCCCGGCAAATATATCCTGCTTTCGCCGTTGCTCCTTCCGCTATTTTTTCGCATTAACTATACGCACACGTTAGCGCAGCAGCGCGGCCGGGCCGGGTCGGGGGCAAGTCGCTGAAATACTGTCCGCGCCGAGGCGGGCCGCGGGGCCGTGGGGCTGTGCGCGGCCCGCGACCTCTTCATCGCCCCCGAGGGTGGAATCATATCCTTCCAGGACTCGCTGCTCGGGTTGTCCGGCGACGGTATCCTTTTTTACAGTGGACTCTGCGCGTCGCAGCCAGAAGCACTGCCAGCGCCAGCGCGAAGTGCACCAATATGTCTGCGGCTGTGAATCACAGGCCGTAAATGAGCGGAGCGACGCCACTGCCAAAGTCCAGGGAAAACACAATACTAGTTCAAGGACAGACAATGGCCAGGCCACAGGCTGCAGGCCGCTGCAGGCCCCGGGGACGGCTGGGCGGCGTGGATTTGTGCCAGCGCTGGCCTGGCGGGGCGGCCTGGCGGGGCGGGCTGCTGCGTTGCCGGGGACGTGCACAACTTCGGCGTCCAGGGGACCGACCGGACCGACCGACCGATTATTGTTAGCGAAGCGTCGCCATTGTTTTCGCTTCGACGCGTAGCGTGCAAAAAAGGAACATACTTTGCCGTCGGAGTTCGGTCAGTTTGGCGCGCCCGATTCTATGAAGCGGTAAACGCACAACTGGTGAAAAGTTTAAGTCGAGTTAGAACGCACCGGCTGGGCGAAAATCAACTAGCACGTCATGGCCATCATCATAAGCCGGACATGAAGAACTATCAGAAGAGCCTCCATTTCTCCTAGTTGTCCCGTCTTACGTCTCGAGCAAAAGAAATGGCCGCACTGATCTCCTGGGGCGCAGGCCACTCATCAGACTAAGAGACACCCTCCTTCTCATTTCCCCATCTACTGTAAGAGTGACAACACTGGCAACACTGGAGGGACGCCAAGCGTAAAGCTCTCGGTGTCACTGATACCATTTTTTACGAATTCCCTGGACGCACCTTGGCGCCTGCAACAAGGGTGCAAGTCCTGCTGCCTCTGGTTTCAGGTCTTGGGCGCGGTTATTGAAATTTCGCGTCCCTGCCAGTTGACACCACGCGCCGCCCCGCCACGCGCAGAGAGGTCAAAAGTCGGCTTGCAGCGCGCCGTCACGGAGTCCGGAGTGCATGGGGAGGCGTTCCCCTCGGTGTCTCGGAGCGCCCTCCCCGCGCCGGGTTTGATGCACGCTCCCAGACTTGCTCCAAGACGACGAGGACGACGCCTCGCGTCCTGCCCGGCTGCCAGGACGGAATGCGCGAAACGTCCCGTGCGAGCCTTTTAGACAGTGGAAAAAGAAGGGGAAAAAGTGAGACAGACGGGGCGGCGAGCTTCGGGATGAATGTCAGAGCCAGCTCACACTGGGGTGCCAGGCCGCGCCGGGCCGCGCCGGGCCGCGCCGGGCCGCACCGGGCCGGGAGGGGAGAAAGTTTCTCCATGTTTTTGAATCGCCCTGCCAAGCGTGTATTGACGACACAGTTCCACTTCCCAGCGATTTTTCTTCCAGCGGCCCCTTTGTAGCCACACCGATTTCGAAGTGACTGTTTGATTTCGTTCTATGGATATTTGATTTTGGTTTCAGGAGTTTTGGCGCAGTTATGTCTGCAATCCGCCTGCCTCTGACGACCTACCGGAACTCTTCACACACATTCACCATCTATTTTGGATTCAATCTGTTCGGGCAAGGAGGAACAAGAGTGAACTCTAGCTGTCCGCGGATGGCGCGAGCAGTACTCACCGGTGGCCCCGGGCACGAAGTCAGTGCCCACCCGCAGCACCAGGACGGCGACGAGAGCCGCGGCGGTCGCGGCCGCCTGCATGTCGCTCGTGGGGGCGGTGCGCAGGCCGTGGAAGAGGGCGAGGACGTCGAGAGGCTTGGGCGCCGGACCGGGATGGCAGCCGGTGCGGCGTGGCGAAGTGAAGGACGCTCGGACCCGCGGCCAGGGAAAGCAGCGGCAGCAGGGAGGCGCGGTGCGGACGCGTGGCTCGGCGCATCCCGACTGGCTGGGCGCCACTCCGCCACACCGGCACGGCCGGCACGGCGCCTCGTGGGCTGGGGGTGGCGGCGGAGGCGTGGTGGGGGCGGCGCGGCAGGGCGCGGCAGGGCCGCCTCACTTCGCGGCCCACACGCGCGTGCACTGACCAGGCCCACGGACTCCGCGAGCTGCAGGCGCAGCACTCCGTACAGTGCGTGGGCCAGGCAGGTGGCTTTGACAGCCCGCCCCGGGCTCCGTGCAGCAAAAGGCACAGCCTCGATCCCAGCCGTTTGGCGGCGGCTTTCCCGATTACATCCAGGCGCACGCGTCCAGCGTCCTGCCTGACAAGCCACCGGATACTAATATTCTCTTTGCTTTTAGTGAATATATGCAAACGGCACATTTCACTGGCGGTAGAAACTTTTCTGCAAAATTTTAATGTTTGCTTTTTGTTTAAATTTTAACAGTTTTGGTGGTGTACTTGTGAAGGAGCCCGGCGAGGGCTCGCAGCGAGTCGCCGGGGGGCAATGTTGGCTAAATAGTGGCGGCGCGATGGCCTGGCAGGCCGGGCCGGGCCCAGGCCGCGCGGGCAAGATCCAGGGAAAGGGTGAAAGGAATCACAAAAGGACGCAAGAACAGGAGGCGGCTATTGTGTGCGGCTGACGGACGGAAATAAACGGGGAGGAAAGAATTACGGCGGCGTGCCTCTCTCGCACACTCTCGCACTCCTCGCCATCCGGGCCGTTCGGCTGTCTCTCTCTCTTCGATTCCGATGACGACGACGTGAAGATAGCCAGGAAAGTTTTTCGAGGCGGGGCGGCGGCCCAGCACCACGCGGCGGCCAGCGCGGCCAGCGGCCCTGACTCTCTTTCCCGCCCCTCGCTGTTTGAGTGCGGTGCGGATTGCGAGGGATGCCCGCTTGTTACCCGCCACTGTTTGCCCCCCAGGGGTAATTTCCCGTGCCGATTTGGCACACGATACATTGACTTTCCCTCTTTCTGGCTGGCATTGACATTGTGTGTATGTGTGTGAGTTGGTGTGTGTGTGTGTTTGCGCGTGAGCCAGCTCGAGTTCAATGCACCACCCACGTCGAAATGGTTCTCCTTTTCCCCTCCCAGCGTGACGCTGCCAGGTTCGGTCACCTTCACAGGTGTGCCTCTCTCCCACCAGTAACCTGGCTCCCGGCCTGGCTTCGTGCACGCTGCTAGTGGCTGGCTGCCCGGAGCCACCTGAAAATAAGCGGACCAGGCAAGGTGGCGCCGCTAGGGCCGCGCGGGACGGTCGGGCAGCCCTGGCGGCGAAGCGCGAGCCCGACTCTTTTTCCACCCCTCCCTCGGTCCGCGTGGTTTCCCCACTACAAACATGACCATTTAGGGGAGCCTATTTGTCTTGCTCCCCCTCCTCGCTGCACCTGCTACGCGCCACGCCGCGCACCCGCCCCGCCAAGCGCGCGCCCGCCCCGCCAAGCCCGCGCCCTTCCCACGTCATCGCCTCCGCCTCACCTTTAATTCATCCGGCTGCACCTCCGGACGACCCGCGGACACCACCCGTGTTTGCGGACACACACACACACACACACACTCTGCGCTGTTGACTCTAGCCCCTGTGGTTTCCGTTGCAGTGTTTCAGCTTGCCTGCTTTTATTTCCCTTAAATCATAATCAATTAATGCTCTGAGTTTATGTTGCTGCCTTTGAAGGTGATAATCCGGTTCCACCCAATCCAATTCTATCACGCAGGTGTGATGGAGGCCCCAATCTGACCTTTTTTCCCTTTCTCCCCTTTTGTGTCTCCCCTGCGCCGTTTTGGGACACGCAGGGACAATATTGAGTATGGAGGGAAAAGCGCACGGCAGGGTCAGGAGGGGAGTCTGCAGTGGCCGGTTCCGAAGAGTGCCTCGTCTGTCGCTCTCGCTCCGCCACGGGCCTCGCCCCCTGAGTGCGGGAGAGGCAGAGAGACGAAAGCGCCGTGCGACTGCAGCCCTCTGGGGGTAATGGCGGCGAGGGGCGTCTTGTTTTCGATGCCCACCTGACGCGCTGCCACGCGGCGCGGCTGGCCGGGAAGGCCGAAAGGCCAGAAGGGACATTGAAAACCGAAGTGGACCTAGCTCATGACATTGCACTCTTATTTAATCTTTGCAAAATATGACGTAAGCGTTTATTTAAAAAAGTTTGTGCCAGAGGTGATAAAAGTGACTCTCTCCTGATCCGCCGTGACCCGCTCCGAAATACAAGTGCCAATATCTCTAAAACGGTGACCGGTACATGCTATAACCATAAAATAACATTAAATGGAAATGAAATTTCCAAAAAACAAGTCACTTTATGCATAGCACTCGTACGTTCCTTAGTTTACGAGATATCGACACCTATATTTCGGAGCGGATGACGGCGGGTCAGGAGCGGGTAACTTTTCTCACCTCTGCTTTGTACACGCATAGAAAAAATAATATTTCCTATTTTCGGAAGTATTCTTTGCAAACATTCACGGTCATACTTCTTAGGTGTCTTTTTTGTGCTCATACTTCATGAGGTTTTCAGTGTATCGCTGCCCGTGCGTGTGTTGAGGCTGCTCTCCGGGCTGGCGAGTGGAATTCTTCGTCGTGTATTGGATTTGCATGATCCTTTCCTATTATGACGTGGCAGCACCCCTCCCCGCGCAAACCGCTTGGGAGCATTCCGAAGCTGTGACAATCAGCCGTCAGTCAGTGCAACTCGAGCCCGCCTCCCTATCGGGCGGGCTGCGCCTTGGGTTGCGCTGTGCACGGCTGGATGGTGAAGGCGGCCCGGCGGGCCACTGCATTGCTGTAGCGCCTGTACCGCACGGCGGGCGTGGGCGGGGTTCCCTTCCAAACTGTGCACGCCGTGCGCCCCGTGTGAGTGTCTCCCTCGTCGTCCCGGCTGCAGGGACTCCAGGACCAACCAACCAGCCTAACAGCATTTCCATATATGTAAGGGTTTTCCCTGCCAGGCTGCCAGGCACTGCCGGGAGACCTCAGCCCGCCTCGCCTGCGCGCCTCGCACACCGCCCGGGCTAGACCGAACGAAAGCGGCGAGGTGGCTGAGCGCAGTCGGGGCAGTCGGCACACAAGGCCAAGGAAAACACTCTGTTTCTACACCGTAACTACGACCACTCCTTGTCCGGCAGACACATGCGATACCAGGGGTGGTATGTGGACACACACAGACACTCACACACGCTCACGCGCGCGCGCAAGCCAGTGTCTGGTAGTGCGGCCAAATCAAGTTGGCAGTGGTTCGCATGTGTCGGAAAGAGGACAGGGGTGCGGGCGGTGCGGGGTGTTTGTGGTGCCCAGCCAGGCAGCCAGGCCACCAGGCGACTTGGCGGGGGAGGGGCGCGTTTTCATTAACAAAGAGGACCGTACAAAAGAAAGGTGGCCGCGGTCGCCCACTGGAACTGGAGCAGCCTACCACTTTATTCTTTATTCGCTTGTCGCTGGACGAGCTAGTTGGCCGATTCCCCTTTTTCTCGCCCTTCAACCGACTGTGAGTTTGCACTGAAGCCTTGTCGATCGGAGCCTGGAGCACACTCTGCACCCGCGGGCACAGCGCTTTCTTGTGTTTTTTCAACGCAGTGCCGTTGCATAGTGATGCACCGCTTTAAGGACCCGCTTGACGGCAGGGCGGAGCGAGCGGCGGAGCCAGAAAAACAAAGAGAGAGGCGATTCTATAAAGAACAACTAACTCCCGCAGAACACCGAGTCAGCGCCTCGTAGGCGCAGCTCTGGCGCACCCGCGCTGCTTTCTCCTTGCCAAAGACTTTGAAGGCTTTGTAACTGTGAAATTACCTGAAATTCGCCTGCACCCGCTTACCTGACATGGCCTTCGGAATTTAGCTATCGCGTTAATATGTTTTTGCGGTTCTGATTCCAGGAACGGAGACAACAATCTAGGTTTGTCCCTTTTCTCGCGTGATGGATCCAGTACTCCCGACGTGCGCGTTTAGGTGAGGTGTGCTTCACGGGACCACGACCCCCACAGAGTTGGCGTCGCCCACGCTGTTAGTTTGCCGGTTGGCGGGCCGCCCCGGCCAGCCAGACTAACTCATACAATGGCCACCCATACACGGGTGCCCCGGAAGCGAGCGTCGAATTCAAACCGGAGGCGGCACAGGGGCGTGCACAGCTCGCCTCCTCGGGAGGGGCGGTGGAACCTTTTTTTTGAGGAACTTTGCCTAACTTCCAGGAGTTAGACGCCAAAACCTGCCTCAAAAGTATACCTTTTGGGGTCCTTCGGGGGGGGCGATCGCCCCCTCCGCCCCCCCCTTGTGCACGCCCGTGAGGCGGCAAAAGTACGGTGGGGCGTCGCACTGCGTCGCACAGTGGCGTGGCTAGTTTGGCGGATCGGCTCCGGATCGTCGCAAACTCGCCCACTTCGGTGGCCGGTGGGGAGCGTGTATATGTCAGTGGTGACTCAGGTTCAAAATTTGTTGTTTTTTGCTTCTATCGTTTTGCCTCTGATTTGGCTCTGATTTGACTAAACCTTGTTCAGTGTCCAACCACTTTTGTCAAACACAAAGCAAGGTCGAAGCCATTGATCATATTGTCTATAAATTCGTTTGTGGGTATACAATTGCAGTCCACTTTGTGGGTGTGAGGTGATTTTTGCCATGGCGCCTCGTTGGGCAGGCCCCCTCCCTCCCCTCCCCTCCCCCAACCCAACTTCGTGGGGCGTGTCGCTTTATTGGCGATGATGGGCTGCTGCTGCCGAAACAAATAATTGACAGGATTGGTTGAGAGCATCCTCATCGCAGAAGTGAAACACTATCGCCCGAAAGGGGTGGGCTGCACCGAAGACGAAACAACAACGGAGTGCTCCATCCGACACCACACTCACAATCGGCTCCAGCAGCAGTAAC